CTTCTAACTCTACATTTGTCCAGTCAAAAAACTAGCAAGTCCCGACTTGCCCCTGCCTAATCAACCACATTCTGCCTCGAACAAATCCTTCTTGTTTGTCTGCTCATGCCTTTCAGATCTACACCACAACAGTATGTATAACTTTAAATCACAATCGTTTTACTGTACACACTGCCACTCTGCTCAACAAACTTTGGAGTCCTTCATAATGTATTTTAATAAATTTAAAACTTCATTTTCTAAATCTGATGACAATTCTAATACTAATAGATAGGGCTGGGATTTTAATGCCCTAAAATATTTCAAAAAATGCAAAAATGACTTAAAAAACTCAAAATATGCATTTAAATTATATTTATTATAGCTTAAAAATTAGAAAAAAAATTTTAAATAATACTACAGTAATGTATTTTTTTTGTTTTTTTTTAGTAGTTTATTGTACGTTGTTACTTGTTTTTATGCTTCTGTTTTCTTAATCATTCGTTCTAAAATAATAATTTTAAAAAAACTTTAATATTTCAACTTTTTTTGCTAGTTGTTATTAATGCTAAACCTGAACAAATTCCCTATTGCACTGTATCAGTAGTACTTATCTAAGCCTAGCTATGATAAAATTGTTATCTACGATAACTTGTACCTACGTATGTGGTATGTATGTATAATGTATGTATGTATGGTGTGTAATAAAAATAATAATTCATAACTGGTATATAACGGTGATAATTTTCGGGGAAAAGCCTAGCTATGATGAAATACCTATATGAATATATAATACAATTTATAAATAAATTATATATAGTATCATACATTCGTACCGTCGACAGTTTTTCCGAAAGTTTCTGTGGAGTCCGCAACAATTAATTTCGTTCGTTTATGAGAAATTGTGAAAAATGCTCTAGAATTAAGCAAATGCACTAAAAGCTAGTTAAAAATGTCCTAAACAATTGCATTTAAGGTTAATTTTTGTCAAAAAATTGCAAAAAAATTCCAATAAAAAAATACTTTAAAATAATCAGTAACATCCAAAATACATTTTATACTTACAGCTCAACGTTTCAAAACATCAGAAAAAAGATGCCTTTGCATCAAAGTCCCAGCCATAACAGTCTTGTAAGTATTCGAAAAATAAAATTAATCTCTTTTTATATTCGAAATATTCTATACTTTTTTTTAATATTCAATGTCTGAAACTTTTATTTTTTTATTCATTAAAAATATTTTTCCGTCCAGTAAATGTTTAAATTTGTGACAAGACACAATTATAAATCATGAACATTAATTTTATTCTTTGAAAGAATAATATAATTTTGGCCCATGATATGATTATTTTTATAAGTACCAATGTGTTTAACACGTATTGTTCGTATCGGCCGTATCATATGTGGTCAAAATTTATAAATAGCTTATGATTACAAAGTAATTTTAATTATTAATTAATAAATGTTAATTAGTAATTACCAACCATTCAAAAGCTGACAACAATTATTTGTGAAAAAAAGTATTCTAATAGTATTCGAATACTTTTTAAAGTATTCGAATATGTATTCTGAATATATTTTTTAAGAACTATTCGAATACGTATTCTGAATACCTTAATTCTCATTTATTCGAATATGTATTCCGAATACAAAATAAAAGTATTCTTTACAAGACTGCCTACTAATAGCAATAATATATGTAACAAGTCCATTAATTGTAATTTATAAATATTCTATCAAAATCTTTGTGGCCTTAAAACTAAATTAGTCAACCTCAGATGTTCCTTTCCTATGTTTTACTTTTATGACGTCATTATCCTTACTGAAACTTGGCTAACACCTGACATTAGTAACAGGGAATTATATTTCTTTGCCTTTCGGATGATAAGACTTGATCAAACAACAGTGCTTTTCTCCGAGGAGGTGGAGTACTAATTGCCATCAATATTTCCCTTAAGTACTATTACATTAAGTACCTATGTCGAATGTTGAAAAAATATTTGCCTTACTGTCCATCAACTCTAACTATTTATTGGTACGTGGTGTTTACTTACCCCCCCCCCACTCTCCTCTTTCTGTAGTTGAATCCCGTGTTGCTTCTGTTGAGCAAATCATATCCTCCTATAAACCTCAATCAGTTATCCTGTGCGGCGACTACAATCTCCCTAATGTTACGTGGTCGTCTGATGAGCTAGGGTTAATTGACACTAATGATCGCAATATGGTTACCACATCTATTATTGACTCATTTTCTTACTTAAATTTCTTTTAGCATAACTTACTTCCTAATAGTCATGGTAGCATTCTAGATCTTATTTTTTCAAATTCCAATAAAGTCAGTATCAGTACTTTACTGAACTACTCTAATAACTATCCTTTGCATAGAATTCTTCGTCTACTCAATAACTCCTAGATCCGTACTTGATATTTTGAATTTATATAAACACAAAGTATTTAGTTTTTAGTTGTTGTATTGTATACTAGAATGTAATGTTTATAATTATTGTACTAAATATTTAGTTAGATTACACTATGAACTACTGTGTTCCATCTTTGCTTTGTCTGTAAGATACCTAGCCTTAATCACTATTATTATTGTAATTTTTCTATATTTAACTTGTTATTGTATCTCTTTGTATTCAAATTGTTTCAATTCAAATTTGTAATCAACAAGATTGGTGTTAATAAAAAAAAATACGCTGAAAATCAATCCTCCCAATTCACCAGAAAATCACTCACAGTGGAAGCCTCAGACTGAAATCTAGTTAACCTGCTCACTTAAATATATGAGAGAACTTATTGAGAACCACTAAGATGGCCTATCTAAATGGAAATCAGAATGAGAAAAATTTAATCAAGATTCCAGATACCGACAACATAATACTAACACTAGGTAATTTGGTACTGGGATATGAGCTACCTCGATGATATTGAGTCGTGTTAAACCATCTACGCACAGTCTAAACTGGGCAGTGTAGTTAGTTACATAAATTCTATTCAAGTTATTTAATTTTACTTTTTGGATTTGAATAAATTATTGAGTTTGGTAATTAAAATATCAAAAATTGACTTTTATACAGGCACAGATTAACTTCTCTTCTACAATATTGATAATAGGTGTTTTTACTCTCAAACAGCTCAATATTATAATATATTATTACAAATACTAAATTCTCGTAGCATTTTTCCCCACTGTTGATACCCCTTAAAAGATAAACATGTTTTTAGCCACGTTCAAGTTTGTTTGATTGCGACAGCAACCTCAAACCCTCTTGATTGGACTTGTCTATAATTTTAATAAATGCCTATTTTTTAATTTTATTTTGACAATATATTTATAATAATTCAACTTATATTTGTATAAATAATTAATGTTTACAAAATTTAAAATTTAAATAAATGTAAATGTTTAGTCATTAGTATAGTACCTAATGAATTTTTAATGAGAAACCCTCAATACCTTATATTTAAGTATTTGTATATTTTGATTTTTGAATGTTTAAGTTATAAATGTTTTTGAAATGTCTTTATTGTGTATAGTATGAAAACAAAATTAATATTAGGTACAAATAATACAAGTCAAAAATAATATAGCATTTATTGTCTATTAATATTTATATTATTTAAATTTTAAGCAACCATGTATTTATGATATTCTTAATCGTATCTTAGGTTTCAAAACCTTTATATTTTCTAATGTTTTACTTATTAACTATTTTATTTTATTTGTAATAAGTATAAATTAAGTATTAGAAGTTCATACCTCTTGTTAAATGATGAGTAAATTAATTTAGTGCATAGTTTTGAAGGAATTTAAATTGTCTCCCAGTAAATAGTAATATTATGTAGATAATTCAACAACTTAATGCTTATAACACAATTTGGCTGTAACTGTATCATTTTATATTTTAATATTTTCAAATTGTAAACGAGGAATGTAACTTCTACATAAAATGTTATCAATTATTGTTAAGTAAAAAAAAATAATTAAAATAACTATTTATTAAAAACAAATTGATGCTGAATAAAATACTTCCATATGAATTATAAAGAATTGAGTAACATGATAATTAATCACATATAATTCATAAATGTACAGAGTTTGGGATTTAAATGTATGACTTCTATTGGATCATTGATAAAATAAATTGAACCAAATAAAAATCACCAAAAAAAATTACAGGACTCTTGTGCTGTATTTATGTTTTCCGCACTATATACACCTTGTATTTAACGTCTCTAATAGGACCCTATTCTCTGTTCAAAATTAGATCATACCTTGGTGGCCAACTTTTGTGGGTATGAGTTGCTTTGTTCCTAACCACTGAAATTACAAATTGATTCGGTAGGGAAAGCATCTGACACTTTATTACATTAGAGATGTTAAATACAAGGTTTCTATAGAGCACAACAAAAATACAGTAGTACTGTAGATTCCGCTTAATGTGGGCACCAGTTAATATAGGCATAATAGTCTGGTCCCAATTCTGATGTATACTAACTAATTTCAATTTATACGACTAACCACTAAATGTGGGCAAACAAGATTGGTCCCAATCAATGAGTCCACATTAAGCGGAATCCACAGTATTTGAAATGTAATATTGTGATATCTAAATAAATAAACTATTTCTGTATTATGACATCAGATCAATATTTTTAATATATAATTTTTATATTGATAAAATAAAATATTAGTAAAATATTTACAATAGATATACACAGGGTAATACAACAATTGGATTCAAAAACTAATTTTACTGAAAAAAAATAACACTATTATAATATAATATAAATGTATGATAAATTATATTTAATATAAAAGATAATTCTAAAATATAACATGTCAACATAAGGTTAATTAAAAAAAAAAATTAATACAATTGTATTATTTAGCTTAGCAAATGTCAAAAAAAATTATTTTTAACAAATTTTAATCTACAATAAGAATAATTGTTTTAACTGAACATTTTTTAAATAGTGGTATTCTTATGAATGAATTGGATAAAAAAATTATTTTAGTTACTCTTTTGCGTCTCCAATTCCATCAGCATTAATAGCAAACATTGCTTCAGACTCCGGTAAGCAAGGAGAATCATATATCTTGCAAATTCTTGTTTCACCTCTGCCTTTACGCAAGTACAATCTAGTAGTAGACGCATGAGCCATTATATTTCCACCAACCGGTTTTTTTGGATCTGCCGCAAACATAGAAGCACCATCCACTTGAGCAACTACTTGATTAGTTATTACTACAGCAACCCCAAACTGAAAAAATATTGTTTGATATTGATGTTACAAAGTGAGATAAGACAGAAGTTCTGTTAAGTATTACGATGAAGCAGTGCCGCAGAGTTTTTTTTTCCTAAAGTGAAGGATACTTTGGAGGTCATCCTCTATCATTATTTTATGAAATTTATATAGATGCATTATGACATAATATGTTAAATACCAATAAATAACTAATTTCATTAAACTATAAAGTAAAAATATTTTTCCAACAAAACTTTTAAAATCTAAGAACATTATGTACTAAGCATTTTATCAAACAGATTAATATAACATGACGGATAGTAAATTAATGAAATTAGAATGACCAATAGAAAATCCTATATTTGGAAAGTATTTAGTACATTTAATTCAATACATATAGTATTAAATGCTTTTTAAATAAATTTGAAATTTAATTTTTCCAGCTTTTAGATTAGAAAAATCTTGAATAACTGTTCCGTATTTATTTTTGAATGTCGTCCATATTTCTTAATAAGCAAAGTTATGGTTTAAAATGATTCTAATAACAGGAGTTTCTGAAGTAATTCTTGATTCCCAAGAAGTCCCTCAGTAGCTGCCAAGAGTTAAACAAGCTGCTAGAATTTCAGTGAACTTGTAGCAATATTGTTAATCAAATATACATAAAAAAAAAATATAGTCATTATTTATAAATATGTAAAAAAAGCCATATCATTTACTAAACTCATTAAGTGTTTATTTTTAAACACTTCCTTCTATGTTAAAATTTGGCTTGTGAAATAATAATCAATATTTTCTTTTTAAGTTAAAACAATATCATATAATTTCTTAATCAAATCATCTTCATCTTTTGACAAATTTTAAGGATTAGAAGGACGTGGGATTGGCAAGCGTTGTCTCCGTCTTACAAATGCGTAACATAGAAAATGTTACCATCAACAGATCACGTTTAGCTATTAGTCGTTTAGAAAAATTTGACCTCTTATAAAATGTAAAGGTCAGATTATTATCTAGATAATGCCATACAATTTTTATTGTATTTTAATTTTAAAGCAATTTATGAGTATTTTATATAATCTTAAATTTAAATAATATAAGAACTCAATTCACTCTAATTTTAGATTCTGAGTGAAACGATGAATGTATTGATTTTACAATGATGTGTGTTTTTTTTTTTTGTATCTGTGTACACGATAAGTAGTCGAAATAATGCTTCGATTTTCGACTTCAGTATCTTGTTCGATTGGAGAGTGAATATTGTTGGTGCATTGGGGAGGTCAAAATTTAAAATTCCTAATAGTTTTCACAAGCGCCGGGAAAAACAACATAAAAATGAAGGAAAAACGGGAATTTTTACGCAAAATAGGTTTTTGACAAAATCGAATTTGGTTTTTGGTGTAACTTTAAAACAAATGACTGTAGGAACATGAAATTTTGACTGGTTGTTTATATTTGCTCTTTTCTATACACGATAACATTTTCAAAATATTTTGATTTATTATGAACTGTTTAGGGACATTTTAATTTTCCATTTTTTTTTAGTTTTTTTTCTAAAAATATCAATAAAACTTTGTTTGTTGAGTAGAAATACTTGAAAATTTAATACAAGGTCCCTACTATATTGTTTCAAAGGCAGATGAAAAATATTAAAAATCGTTAGTCACAGTTTTTTTTTATAAGCATTTAAAGTTCAAAAATTGACAAAATTTGGAAAAATCACGAAAATTAGCAAATTGTTTTGAGTTAAGATTCGTAAAAATTTTTCTTTTTAAATCTAAGATTTGAAAATGTAATACAAGATTACTCATAAGTTTGTCTACCTTTATCAATATAAAAATCTCTACCGGACAGTCAAATTAAATTTTTATGAGCGTTTGAAATTCAAATTTTTACAACATTGGATGTTCACTCGATTTCTCATGTAGCGATTTCCTTATTTTATTGTTATTCATAAACGAATAACTATAGATACAAGAAAATTTCACTGAATGTTTGTATAAGCATTTCCTATACACCATACAATTTTGAAAATATTTTGACTCTTTTTGAGCTGTTTACGGATATTTTCATTTTTAAATTTTTTTAGTTTTTTTTTCTATGAATATCAATAAAGTTTTATCTGTTGGGCCAAAAAGTGTAAAAATTTAATACAAGGCTCCTGATATATTGTTACAATATCAGTTGAAAAATATTAAAAATACATAGGCACAGTTTTTTTTTATAAGCATTTAAACATCAAATTTTAACAGAATTTTTCAAAATCTCGAAAATTATTAATCATCGTAATTAATAAATTATAAAATAATCAGTTTTTATACCTAAGGATTGAAAATTTAAAACAAGATTCCACGTAAGTAGTTAATTCTTTTACCAAAAAATCTAAAAAATATACAATCACAGTTTATTTTTATAGTCATTTTATGTTCAAATTTGGACGAAATTACACATTAAAAAACCTAGTTATTTTGTTGTGATTATATAATATTATTCATGGGTACCTACTTGAAACTTCTAAAGTTTACTATTATATATCAATGATAGTATCAGGATTTGTTATTGATGTTGATGTATAACGTGTTATAAGTACCTAATGGATATTGTGATTATGTGATATGAATAATTTGGAATTTATTATAGGTCAATTTTTTTTTTAATACCATAGATATGTATATAATTTGTCTTAAACCTAGACTGACATACCGTCTTCGCTCAGAATCGTTTTTCTTATACAATGATATTGTATCATTGAATTCAAATTTAATACCATCCATTATACAGTGACCCACTTGTAACCTACAGTACAGCAGAGCGACATCCACTTACCCACCTTTTTTAAAATAATGGAGCTAAACATGATCTGCTGAGCGTTATATTTGCTATGTTACACACTTATAAGACGGAGGCAACACATACGGATGCCACGTCCTCTTAAGATACAAATCAAATGTATTTTCCACTGATTAAAATTGAGCTTTATGTTTCATTAAAATAATGTTAACGACATAAGTAAAGATTTAATTCCCAAATTTTCATTTGTGTACAATAAAGTACATATTCTTCCACCTTCATCCACATTATAATTATTACTATAATTAATTCATTAAAATAAATAAAAATACAATAGATTATTCTTATGCAAAATGATTACTAAAACCATATAAATTAAAACGTTTTTAAGTTACATAAAATAGAGGCCTCAAAATACCATGGGTGAGTGTCCCCACAATCCTGTAGCCTTATCAAGGCCTGAGTGAATATTGCAGCACTGCTATGAAGTAAACATAGTAAAATACTAAAATTTAATTTTTACCTCATCTGCAAGACGTAATAACATTCTGAGAAATCTGGCCAAATGATTCTGTCTAGCAGATAATTCACCTCTACCAGAATAATCTGTTCTATATAAAGCCATGGCACTATCCACAATCAATAATGCATACCTGAAAAATAAATGATAGTTATTCACAATTTTGTACTCATTTTAAATATAAAATAATTAAACTAATTGAGCTATAATAAAATACACTATTTTTTAATGAATAATTCTTAAGTAATTATCTGATTATCAATGTATAATTTCTATTTGAAAAGTAGTAGTTTTTAATTGTTTTAAAGTATTGTTTTAAGGTATAATAAGTATTTTAAATTTAAACCATTCACTTGGAAGAACAAAATATGTATACTTTTTCTTAACATGTCCGTGGTTGTGTTTTATTCCATAATACTTAGGTCCCCTGAGTAAGCTCACTGAAGTTTTATTTAGGATATTATTCAAATTAATGTTAAAATTAATTGAAGTCAAAAAATGTAAGTTTCTAAATGATAAATTATTTATGGAAAATACTGCTGAGATCACATTTTGATCAATAAAGGTTTAAGGTTATGGACAAGATTATAGTTATGATTTAAAATATTTTACCTAGATTCAGCCATCATAGCTCCAGCTTGCAATAATAATTGTGTTTGATGATCTGTATTATATGCTCTGGCACAAGCAATATTATCAAGTACATCACTTCCTACCAACTGATATCTTTCAGCTACTGAAAGCAATCGTTCTGGCCGGAATGTACCCTCAGTGTCAATATAGAGGCATTTTCCTTCTCCTCCATTTTGACCAATAGGTAGCTAAAAAACAAAACAAATTTATACTCTAAAAGGAATAAGGATTATTTATTTTGTTTAGTGTTATTATTTTATGTTTAACCAGTTTTGAAAAATAAATACAGTTCTAAGTCCTGTCAAAACTCGAAGATAACAAAGCGAAATAAGTTCACGACATTTAGTACTTATCATTTTAATATAGTTAACTTTTTACAAATTAATTATTTTTACCTGACAAGTTACAGCCAAAGTATGGCACAGTTGTGTTTTACCAGTTCTAAACTCCCCAAATATTTCTGTGATTGAACCAGTCTCAATGCCACCACCTAATAAACGGTCTAATTCTTTTGAACCAGTAGTCAATTGAATGATTTCAGATCTCTTTAGATGAAATATTGTAGCAGAAGTAAAACCGAGTGGGACCATTTTTGATGCTTCAGCCTATGATGAATATTATGAATATGTAAAACAAATATTTCACAATCTTATAAATACAAAAAAAAAATGTTTTAATTATATATTTCAATTGTTTACCAATATTTTATCAGCTTTTGCTTCACTTATGCCCTTAATGGTAATGAGATGTTTTTTTGTCGCAAAAGCAATAGATTCTATTGTGTGGTATCCAGCTTCTTGAAGTTTTTTAATATCTCCACTAGTAATTCCTTGACCCTGTACCATTTAATTGACAAAATTAATTATCTCAAATACTATACACAACTAATTAATTAAAACAAAATTTTTCATAATTTCAATTAGATTACATACATATTTATTTACGTACCCACTATAAATAGGTAGGTACATTTAATATAAGTAACTAGTTTAATAAATTATTATAATTAATGTTACTTCAAGTTTTGCAATAAGTAATGGTCCATCATCTTCTTCATGATCTTCAACCACGGCTTCTTCAACATGTGAAGTCGACGCCATAGCCATTATGTATTCAGCCAATATTATATTAACTGAAAATAAATAAGCAAATATTCAATATAAGCAAAACAAAAAAATGGTAGGCAAGTGGGTGTCACTTTGCTGTACAATAGGTTATAAGTGGGTCACTGTAATGGATTGTGTTACATTTGAATTCAATTATAATATCATTGTAGAAGAAAAATGATGACGGTCAGTCAGCCTATGATTTATTAATAAGTATATTTGATGATATTATTGTGAATAAAGTAATATTTATATTTAATCTTTTTTTTTGCTGTTGATAGAAATTCACAATAATTGTTTACGAAGTTAGAATTTTGATGAAAATATGCAAATTATTTTAGTTATTAAGTTAGAAGTGTATAAAAATGTTTTTTTTTTCATATCTAAGATTTGAAAATTGAATACAAGATACCTCAGAAGTCCTACAAGAAACCTTCAACAAAAAAAAGTTTATCGGAAAGTCAAATTAAATTTTTATGTTCAAATTTTCTGACATGGGATATTTAGGGTTATTCCCCTACAGTGTAAGGCAGGGTTTCCCAACCAGTGTGCCGCAAGGCCCATCTGGGTGTGCTGCAAAATTTCTACTACTAACTATTAATAAAATTAGGTTTTTTTATAATAATTTTAATGTATCTTGTTTTTCCATTTCAATAAGTTAAATATTTAGGATAATTATAATAATATTTTTTTTCTATCCGACCATTTTAAATTGTTTGCTAGTAACATTATACTGATATACAACTATTTTGGTATTAATAATTAATATGATGAAAGTCTAATATAAAAAAAAATATGTATACATATATAAGTCAGTGACAAGTGTGCCGCGGCTAAATATAGGTTGGGATTAGTGTGCCTGTGATTAGTGAAACAGGTTAGGAAAAGCTGGTGTAAGGCCTACACAAACAATTTTCTTATTTTATTGTAGGAAATTAAAAAACGAATAACCGTGGTCTGCCTTTTAGATATTTGACATACAGTTATTATACGATTAAAATAAATTATCATTGAATGTTTATATTAACATTTTCAACATACCATAAGATTTTCAAAATATTGGGACTATTTTTAAACTATTTAAATTTATATAAGACATTTTGGATTTATAGATTCTGAAAGGAAAGATAAATGTATTGATTTTACAATAATGTGTATTTTTTTTTGTCTGACATCTCCTTTTGAGATAGTAGAAAAGCTTCGATTTTCTTCAACAGCATTTTTTTCTGATTGGAAAGTGAATGTAGTTGGTAATTTCTTTTTTTTTTTGGAGAAGGGGTGGAGGGATCAAAAGTAAAAACTTTATAGTTAAAAAATTTAAGGAAAAACTGAGATTTTTACAGAAATCCTGTTTTTGAAAAAATTTGATTTTGTTGTTTGTTCTACCCCTAAACAAATAAGCAAGGATGCATGCCTTTTTCTAAATTCATCAAAATCACTCAAATTTGTAAAATTTTAAAATCCATAAAAAAATTTATTTCAACACTTACGGTTTCAAAATTGAATGCAAGATTTCTCATATAATTGTATTAAAGTTTAGTGCAAAGCCATTTAGAGTTTTTTATGATCAATCAAAGTTTAATTTAGGTAGACAACATTAAATATTCAAACATAATATTATAATGAAAATATTAGTTATTTTGTTTTTAATTAAAAAAGTATTATTTATTGGGACTTAACATTACTAACTCAACCAAACATTAAATACATATTATAATATTATTTATTACACACAATAATTTTATTATAATCATTAATATTTAGATGAATTGAATGCTACAAGCTTTTTATACCATGAACCTATTCACACTGCTTTGCGATATAGAATTAAAGTTAAAATAACACTATAACAGCTAGTAATAATATAAAATTATGCTAAAGATATAATAGGAGTTTACCAAACAGGATTTACAACAGATAAATCAAAAGTAGAACAAATTAAATACACAATCAACCAAATAATGGAAAAAATATATGAATAGATATACACTTACTGTTTGTAAACTACAGACAAGTCTACAACTATATCAGAAGTAGTTTTTGAGCGAGTGAAGATTAAATTTTCTAAAATTTCAAACTCAAGATCTTAAAATCTTAGGGTTCTGTTTGAGAACGTACAATAGTTAATTGAATAGAAGGCTCATAGCATATTGTTTCAAAGGCAGATGAAAAATATTAAAAATCCTTAGTCACAGTTTTTTTTTATAAGCATTTAAAGTTCAAAAATTGACAATATATGGAAAAATCACAAAAATTAGCAAATTATTTTGAGTTAATAATTCATAAAACATTTTCTTTTTAAATCTAAAATAAATGTAATACAAGATTCACTATAACCTTATCACCTAACCTTTATCAAAAAAAAATATCAATAAGAAAGTCAAATTAAATTTTTATGAGAGTTTGAAATTCAAATTTTTACAACATTGGATATTCACTCGATTTCTCATTTAGCAATTTTCTCATTTTGTTGTAATTCAAAAACGAATAACTGTAGATACATGAAAATGTTACTGAATATTTATATTAGCATTTCCTATACACCATACAATTTTGAAAATATTTTGACTCTTTTTGAGCTGTTTACGAACAATTACAGTTTTAAATTATTTTAGTTTTTTTTTTTCTATAAATACCAATAAAGTTTTATCTGTTGGACCAAAAAGTGTAAAAATTTAATACAAGGCTCCTGATATATTGTTACAATATCAGTTGAAAAATATTAAAAATACATAGGGACAATTTTTTTTATAAGCATTTAAAGATCGAATTTTGACAAAATTTAAAATTGAATAATTATTTATTAGTTAACAATTTATAAAATGTTCAACTTTTATATTTAAGGATTGAAAATTTAACTATTTTTATTATAGTTATGTAGTTATATATCTATGATAGTATCAGGGTTTGTTGTTGATGTATAACTGGTTAGTACCAAATTTATATTGTTATATGATTAATTTGGAATTTATTATAGGTACCTATTATAGGTCAATTTTTTTTAATATCATAGATAAGTATATAATGGTAGGCGGAAAAAAAGCCCACGGAAAAAAAGCCCAAGGAAAAAAAGCCCAAAAATATAAATATAAATGTGAACAAAATATAATAATATATTAATAATACATTACTATACTATAACAGATAATAATCATAAATAATTGTATAAGAGGCATATATAGGTAATTTTATAAAAGAAAATATTAAAATTTCAAATATGACTTATACATAATATATAACTATTGAAAATGTTTAATGTATTTTAATTTAAGAAATATTATTAAGGTATATTATTATATAGAGGGTTTGATACTGCCATGAACTGATGAACCACCTGTCAATAAATTGCATTTTTATTACCCAACTATTGATAAGCACTTTTACATTTAATTTAATTTATATTGTTCGGTACTTACCAATATAATTTATATATATAACCAGTCAAAATGTTAAAATTTATCAATAACTGGGTAATATTGACACTCCATATAGTAGGTACTCCATTACTTGGTTATTGAGATACTATCTACACGTCCTACTAGTACAGTTTTATCCAGTTATACATTTGTTATATATTTTATACTTTTGTTTTACCAATTTTTGTGAATATGGAGATTATCAAATCAAATAAAGGTGGTAACAAAGGTTTTTACAAAGGTTATGTATATGTTGTAAAGTATATAATTAACAATTAATTATTATTTTCATTATAATATATAATAATATATTATTATATTTTGTTCACATTTATATTTGTATTTCTGGGCTTTTTTTCCGTGGGCTTTTTTTCCTTGGGCTTTTTTTCCGTGGTCTTTTTTTCCGCGATTCGTATATAATATGTCTTATACCTAGACTGACATACCTTCTCCGCTCAGGATTGTTTTTCTTATACAATGATATTATACATCATTGAATTCAAATTTAATACCATCCATTTTACAGTGACCCACTTGTAACCTACTGTACAGCAGAGCACCTTTTTTAATTGTCTATATTACAATATATGAATTCTGAAAATTGGAATTTAAATTCTATACTTGCTGATAAGTGATAACCATCAATCCTTAAGAGTTGTGTTTAAATACATCGATGGTGTATTTTATTTATTAGGAATAGATTTCCATTCACTGTTGTATTTACACTGATTATAAGAGTTTTTCATCACTATAGGTTGATTAAAAATGTTTTTAAGGAATCAACAAGGAAATGCTAGATTTTCAGCCTTGCAGAACTTGCTTTAATGACAATTTATTGTATTATAACATTAAATATATATGAAATTGTAAATATTATTTTAAAAAATATATAAAAATTATTTTACATATATATAAATTAAAATTGCACAATCTCTATTTGTGTTATACACTCTGTTTAGTGAGAGAGCGGGCCAACTAAAATTGGGTCTTCTGTGCATCCCACAAGACACCTTGCTATAGGGAAACCTAGCAAAGCGAAGCGGAAGATGTGCATAATTGGCACGTTATCTCGCTGAACAGAGTACCTATAGTGATAAATTGGCCCACAGTGAAAATAATTTTATGTACGCCACTGATCATAATATGTATTATCATCTTTATCCCCATTAGTTGTCATATCTATGTAATCTCATTTTTATTTGCAAATTGTAATGTAGGTATAGTATGTATTAGGTACATTAACTCATAAGGAATATTCTAAAATTGGTTGCGGGCTACTCCTATAAAGACTAGGCGGGACAAAGGTTGGTCATCACTTAACTATAGGAAAAGAAAAATCTTGATGATGTAATAAATTGACCGTCTGATGTAGGACTAATTTTCAAAAACCAAAACCAAATCGTGTTACCTGATCAACGCCAAAACAAGGCTTGTAAAAAAAAAGATATACTCTTTTATATCGGACGTGGAAAATTCAAAGTCACATTTAATCGCGACGCGGGTAAGGGAAGCGACAGGGGGAAAAAACAAACGGAATTACAACAAACATTTCGATTCGAATAAAACAGATATTCGAGTTTGTTA